CTTTAAAACTAAATTGTTCAGGGAAAAAGTTGCTCACACGCGATTCTGTTTTCTCATTATATCATTCTATATCAAATTAAATGAGTAATAAGAAAACTGCTTTTTAATATTGCAAGTGTTACTTTTAAATTATACTAATAGAAAATGTTCATAAAAGATAAAATTCAGACATTATAATTATAAGAATTAGATAATTACATTATTAGAAACAATGTTAAGTTAAAAAAAATTGTAACAACTATGCATATTTTTAAACGTTTCATTTGTTACATTGATTAGTAATGTAGCTGTATAGTTCAAAATTGCTTATAGTATAATCCTCGAATTTGTATGATTTGCTAAAATTAACAGTAAATTGTAATAATTATAACTTGTATAATCATCATGTAACGTGTTTAACGTGCGATAATTTTACCTTGTATAATCATCGAAATGACAAAGATACCATGATAACATGTAATAATTAACTTGTAATAATTTTAACTTGTATAATCATCGAAACGACAATGATATCATGATAGGATGATGCAAAAATTTGCTTTGTTAATTGATTACGGCAAAGCACCTCGAGGGCTGCGTATGCGTAGGGATGTCTTAGTTGAAGTCTTCTAAAAGAAACTGGCTCACCTGTGTTAGGTTTATGTGATTACGGTAACGCCTGAAGGACAATCTGCCTAAAGCAAGGGATACCTTCGTGGAGGACTTTCTAATGGAAACAGGTTCTAGACACGTTAGACATGGAGGAAACCACGAAAACGCTCATGCAGCTAGCCCGTTCACGGGATTGGAACAACAGACCGAACTACTAGTGTTCAGAGACTTTACTGCTCGGCCGCTGCTGGGCGAAAATCACTCAATCTCACATTACATATGCAGAAACCACGAAAACTAACCATATGGCTATCCTGTTTAACAGGATAAGTGTATTGAGAATACGGCAAAGCACACTAGGGCTATCTGCCTGAGGGGAAGGATGCCTTCGTGAAGGACTTTCTAAGGGAACTGGCTCGTATACACGTTACACATGGGAAAAACCACGAAAACGCCCATGCAGCCAGCCCTTTCGCGGGAATTCGAACCTCGGATCGAACTACCAGTGTTCAGCGATTTTACCGCTCGGCCGCTGGTGGGCTTAACAGGATAAGACCAAGGTCGAAGTACCAGTATTCGCTCGGCCGCTGGAGGGTTGCTACAAAAATTGGACCGACACAGTGGAAAACATTTTTTTTTTGCTTCAAAAACTTTTTTTTCATCCCTTCAAATACAAATTCAAATGTGAATTGTCAGTTATGGGAGTCAGGTTTTATATTTTAAGTTACCGCTAAAGCTCGAAAGTTGTTAATTTGCACATTACCCAGATAATCTGCAGATTAACTGATTTGTTCCGTTAAAGTGCGGAATCGCGAGTTTTCTGCATTTTACCTAGGTAATGTGCAGTTAACTAGGTAACGGCTTCCGCATTATTAAAGTTCAAAAGTTCGTATCACACATTTCCTTTCTTTCTATATGCGACAATTATGTACGCTTAAATTCTGTACCCATTCGTGGATGACTTTCCAAGGGAAACTGGCTAGTATACATGTTACACACGAAGAAAAATACAAAAATGCTCGTGCAGTCAGCACGTTCGCGGTAGTTGAACATCGGGACCGCACTACTAGTGTTCAGAGATTTTGCCGCTCTTGGTGGGCTCTTTCTATTCTGAGAATTATATGTTGAGATATAATTACAACATCAAAGCGAAAGTGTAAGTGGACTAATTTTAGGCTCGGGTAGTTATACAAGAATAATAATTTGAAAGGATCTACATTTAGATTTCTGTAAATACTAAGATGGATGACCTTTTCAGTGCTGGAATATTTTAAAAGCACTTATTGAACCACAGTTGGGGCAATATCAGATTTTTATATATATAGCTTTTTAGATATTTTTAGCTTTGATCTCTTTAAGTTCATTTTATTCTTTTGAAACATGCAGGCACGTCGGGATAAGTGAGAAATCTATTGAATCTATTGAGACATCGTTAGAAATAGATGAATAAAAATTGTATAATTAGTAATGCCATTTTCAGTCTCAATGGGTTATTCGACAAAACGTGCCTGTTTTGTTTTTGTGGGTCATTTACTTGGTTAAGGGCTTCAGGAACTTTTCCCTTGATAAGTTTTATGTTTGAAGACTTGAACAGAGAAGTTTGACCATGTTTTTATATGTAAAATTTTCTCAGTATTATGTAAACTGTTTAGGCTTTTCAGCGTACCAATTTTGATTTTGTTGTATAGGTTTTTTAATTTTTGTATAATTTGTATGTTTTTTCGCGTACAACTTGTTGCTTAGATTTTGTTGTCTTGTTTTGCATGTAATATTAGGAAAAGGGTAGTTCAGATGATCTTTACGGCTTAATTTGAATATTGTATTTTTTACCTCTCCTTTTCTTATCAATCGATTTTAAAATTTGCAGCTCAACGCGCAATTTTTTTGACCAACTAGTTCTCACTTTTTTATGATTTACTACTTACTACTTTTACAATATATATATATATATGTGTGTGTGTGTGTGTGTGTAAGATAAAAACATGAAAGCAAACTTCTAATTTTAATTTACTATAACCTCTTATTTTTTTTATTTAATTTGGAGACTTCATCTCTCTCTTAAAAATAGCGCTTTAAGTCTAAACTGAGTCATTCAGATTAATCATGCGATCTTACGTAATGCATAATGCAGAAACTTCTTGCCCAATTGCAAATTTAAACCTTTTCTAAACTCGAACTGAAACTTTTCGACTCCCTCCCTTCTTCCTCTGAAGTATTACACTCTTCCCTTCTCGCTTGCACTTTCATCCTGGCCAGACGCGGCTGTAATCATCTATGTTCGCTTCTATCGCCATAATATCCAAAATGTTCTGGAAATAGGCACGATTGGAGTGCCGAGCGAATTCTGGCCACAAATGTGAATTTAAATAAATAAAGGAAATTAATTAGGATTAACCTTGTTCTCCTTATATGTATCAAATATCTACGCTAAATCTGACAGCGAACATGGAAGACATAAAAGCAAAGAAGGAATGTATAGCTAGCTAATAAAAGTTTAAGACTGATTCAATTTCATTTTAACTTGTCAATTTAACTTTCAATTCGCGTATTTGAATATTGTATCTGGCTGAAGTATTATGCAAGTATCTGCGTATATAAGAATCATATGGATTAGAATCCAATCCAAATAAGGGTCTGATAATTATCATAACATCAATAAAAATTGGTATAACTCCCATTTTAAAGCAAGTAATTTCAAACCTCGTGATTTAGTGATGTAGGTGGAATTTCAATATCCTAACACTAGAAACCTTTCTTCTCCTTTTATAGGCGCTTATAAAGTTTTGATACAATATTCTGAAGTTACTTTTGGAATAAATAAACCATATTCTGTTATTAAAAAACATTCAGAAATTGTCCATGAGGCTAGGACCTTTTAATCCAGCAAGCGAATTTAAATTAACTGTCTGAAATAGTAGGATACCTGCTGCTTTTCAAAATTAATTTTCCAAGTTATTCATTAAAATTTCTTCAAACTTTTAAAAGTATTTCTGACCCTGATATGACATTTTAACTCATCACAATATGACATTTTAACTCATCATCAGCCCTTACTATGACAATTTAATCCCGAACTTGACTTTTCTCTCAGTTTTGCTCCTACCTTTACCCTACCCTTTCCTTCTTCCCAGAGACCTTCGGTTGAAAATTGGCTATTTATGTTCCCCAAAGCCTAGAGATGGGGAGAGGAAAAACTGAATACATTTTGCAATCTGAACACAATACCATTTTCTAAATTACGACATTTTATTTTTGCCTAATATCTGATCCGAGTTTCTATACTATGCGTATTACTCCTAACATCGTCTCTTTAGAGAGGATATAAGGAGCAATAGCCCACGCTTGCTGTTCCCTACATATATCCCTAATTATCCAAATTTAGTTTTTCAGCTCAAAGGTAGTTAGTTCAGAAGGACTATTAATTTCGCTTAAGCATATTTCGTTGGTTCACTATAAATGGCGTTTCACTTTTCATATTGTTGCCACCAAATATTAGAGCCCTGCTTCATATTAAAGAAATTAAATAATGAAGATTATGTATGTATGTATGTGTTATCGAATTGTGAGAAAACAACGATACCTCGAAAGATCCCATTTGAATATAGTTTAGCTCTCCTTCCGAATACGGGCATCTGGAAGCCCAAATTTAGAATCTGGAATTTGCTTTATTATCCATTTCATATTTTGTAAATCTTTAACGAATATTTGATTAAGAAACTCACTCATTTCAAAGCGAGCAACGGCAACATTGGTCGGGAAAAAGAAAAACATTTTTTATCTCCAGTGCGCGATACTATGTATCGGAAATTCTAAGGATATGCTGTTTTTAAATTATTTTGCGATGTAGCTCTTAAATTAAATATCATGGTTTCAATGCGAAGAAACATTATATTCAATAAATAAAGGAAACACACAAGCTTTAAAACGCTCCCTTTAGGTGTAATATAAAATCTGCAAGCTTTCAGATTTTTTTATTTTTTATTTATTAATATTTTTTTTTTTTTAATTTTCCGTTGCTAGAAAATGGCCGTGAACTGATTGCCTACTAGTATTTTCCATCAGTTAGGTCATGCTTTCAGCACGTAATGCTACGACACACACACAGACACATATCCTCATCATCATTGTCATCGTAGTCATTATCATCATCACCAACACCACCCTGCTTCAAGTAATATCTTACCGCTTTGCGTTAATATGTTTTTATAAAACTTAAATTGAAAAATAAGAGTTTAAAATTTTAAGGTGAATTATATTGTTTCAGACTGGTTTGCACATTTAAGACATTTTAATCGATATTTTTACAAAGTGGATAAAATCTGAAGAATCTAATTAGTCTTACTGATAAGTTATTATTAACTCTTTTGCAATCAATGTGTTTGAGTAAAACATTTTACCTTTTCTTTCAGGCTCTGGTGATAACTACATACATAAAAAAGGAATATATAAATAGGATATATGAAACTGATTGGATGGATGAGGAATCCAGCACATACTCTGTGAAAAAGGTCCTAATATGTTTTACTTTCATTATGCTGCATAGGATCATAAATTTCATAACAGAATATATTTTCTTGAAATATTTCTGATCAGAAATTATGGAGTTTCAAAGTAATTATTTCCTCAGCTCTAAATGCTAAGTTCTCTTGAGTTGCTATTTTATGCACCTGTAATGTAATCAGGCAAATTTCCCTTCTTTTCATGATTCCACAGATTTATTTCCAGTAAATTAGATTTAGAAATTTGAGATTTTCAGTAAAATACATGGAAACCTTTGATTTTTAAAATAAATAAATAATAATAAAAAAAATCTTAATGGTTTCAGATTTTATATTATGCCGAAATGGTCATAATATATTGAATAAATGGATCACTTTGTGTTGCGCTCATTTAAATGTATCCAAGATTCATCTATCGTGACAATATTTTTTTTTCATTTTCGTCCGAAAAATTGTTTCTCACAGCAAAATCTGCAGCGCGTTGGACGGTTATTCTACGCTACGAGGCGGCAATATATTTTGGGCGATATATTTGGGAGAAAGACGATGCACATTACATTTTTTCGCCTTTTCAAGATTCAAATCGACATTAATCAATTTTTTTAGAGTTTACAGTGATCATTTTAATGATTATACAATTCTGCAACTGCCACTTGACTTCGCGGATTTTCTTTTAACATTAAAAATGTAGAGTCATTATGTTATTTTAAAGCAGGAGGCATGAAAATTGAGCAATGCCCTCGCCGCGACTCGAATCTGGACCTCTCAAGTATGCGCCGAGTGTGCTAACCGTTACATCACGAAGTCATACAGAAAGGAGAAAATACCTTATATACTATATCCCTTTTAAAGGGCGACTGGGGATTAGGGAAACCAAACGCCAAATCCTGTTGGTGGAGAATCATCATCCGCCACTTTTTACTTCGGACGCCACTAAAGAGCCTTTAGGTTATTTCAAAGCAGGAGGCATGAAAAATAACAATGCCCTTCCTGGGAATCGAACTCGGACGCCTTGAATACGTGCCGAGTATGCTGACCGTTACACCATGAAGGCATGCCGAAAGGAGGGAGAAAATACCTTCTAAATTTCTTACCTTTGCAACATTCGAAACATTCCGTTTTTTCCCTTGTATATCTATTTTAAACAATTTTTCTTCTTGAAGGCAAACTTTAAAATATTCTCTTTCCTTTCTTTTAGACTATAGTATGTAATGCTGCATTATGTTCTAAAACATCATGGCTTTCACAGCATATTTTAATAAATAGATACGAATAATTTTCTTCGGAAAGAGCACTAGCATAGCTTTCCGCCCATTGTTTCTTTAAAAGCACCATTTTGGATGAAACCAAAACTGTCAAGTAGCAAATGGTAATTTATACTTTCAGAAATATAGTTGCAACTAAAAAAAATTTTCCAAGCAGACGAATTATTTTAATAGCAAAGCAAAGTCGTCTAAAAATTTGGGAATATCCTCTTCAGTTGCAAATTAAATTTTTCTAGTATTCATAAGATATATTTCAAATTAAGACTGTTAGTTTATTTATATCTTTTAGGCTAATGACACGAAGTTGCAAATTGGCTTCCCGAAGATATTTTTGAATGATACATATCTATCGGATATGTACAGTAAAGTGAGTACATCGATTTATATCAGTAAACTTTCCAGTCGATTTACTTCTACAACTTAACTCTAATTTTAAATATATATTAATTTCTTTTGCAGGTGACGTATAATAATGAAAGTTTCTTCAATAACATTCTAAACAGAAAGAAATGGATGAAAACCGTGTTTAGCGAATGGATTGACAAAAACTTCTTTGAACTGAAAGCTCATACAGAAGAAATGTAATATTTTATCTATTAATACTAATGTAATTTTACCCTAAACGGGCGTTAGACCCAAAGGGCTATTGGTCTCGAAACGGCATTTTCGTCGTTTAACTTTCCTGTTGATTCAATTTTCGAACTGTTGCCAACAAATATTTTAGCCATGTATTATATTTAATGAGACTAAATAAGGAAGAATCTGCATGAATGTATCTCGCACTCTGAAAAAACAACGGTACCTAGAGTCATGGAATTATAAATAACGCAGTCCTCCAACCGAACATGAGCACTTGGAAGCCCGAATTTTGAAATGCCCAATTTGTTTTGTTATCTATTTCAAATTTTCTAAAACTTTAACGAATTTTTGATTAACAAACTCAACGATTTCGAAGCGAACAATGGCAACACTGTACGGTAAAAAAACATTTTCATCTCCAGCGCGCGAGACTGTGTATCGGAAATTCTAAAGATATATATAAATAGTTTGTGATATTGCTGTTGAATTGAATTTTATGTGGTTTAAGGGCTAAGAACACGATATTTAATCAATAAAGGTAACACACAAAACGTAAAAAGACGCCTCTTTAGGCGTAATATAAAATCTGAAAAGCTTTCGGATTTTATTTACTTATTAACAACTTTAAAAGTCTTTAATGCATGGAAATTTTACGTACATTTAAAAGTATGTATTCTTGTTTTATTAAATCTAAGAGAAAAACGGCTTATTTACTTTAAGCTAGAGAACTATTTTTTTTTTTTTTTTTTTAAGTTTATTTGATTATGGCAATTCCCAAATTGTCAAATCCATAGGATATCAAAAAAGGAGTTAAAAATTAAACTAGTATTTCAATGGCGTCTTAAGAAATATAGAACTATCTAAACTTGCGCAACTTGAAATCAGCACGTACGCTAGATTTGGCGCGCTGCTAAATGGGCGCGTTTGCTAGATTTGGCGCTTTTGCGCATACATTTTCGCTGCAATTTTTTACGGTGCTCAAAACCGAATAGTACCAAAAATTTTATCTTTAGCGCTAGGGACTGTGTATCGGAAATTCTAAAGATACGCTGTTTATAACTTATTTTGTGATATTGCTGTTGAATTTAATTTTATGGTTCACTGCGAAGAACATGATATTTAATAAATAAAGGTAACACATAAAACGTTAAAAAAGCCTTTTTGGGTGTAATATAAAATCTGTAAACTTTCAGATTTTTTTCTTCGACAATTTTGCCAAACATTCTTTTGGACTAAAATTAGAATATCTACTCTTAAACTAAATGTAAAGTCATTGCAGTAAATGCGTAATTAAATTAAAAGCTTCTTGGCGTAAAAGAAAAGTTAAAAGATCTCGTTTGAGGCAAACTTAAGCTTATAGCAACTGTTGCGCAATTAAATATGTAAATGCACCCAAAGCTGAATACTTTAAGAAATTAAAATTTCACTTGAGCTTTTGCTTCACTTGTCATCGCTTATCCGTTTGGCGAGTAGGTCGTCGCATAGTGGATAGAGTACCGTCTGCTAACAGTCGTAGTCGCCTCCTGGGACGATGGTCTACGTCTCGTTGGACTTGAAACTTCCTGTTCAGTGTTCTCTCCTGGAACCTTTTAAATTTATCTTGACGCTGAGGGAACTGTGCTGTCGAGGTCTGCTTCCTGGTCTCCCGGATCACTGTCGGACTGTTTTCTGCTGCGCTCTCATCCGTTGGCTAGCCATACTCTTGTTCTTCTCCTTCCTTCGTTTCCGACGTAGAGCTTGCTTGAAGAACCCTCGCTGACATTTATTCTTGGAACGTGGAATCGTTGTCAACCTTTCGTTGACAATTCAGCTGGCACTGGTTATGTAGCGGTAGCTCCCTGGATCTACTGCAACGGCCATACTCTATGTTTCTTTTTTGAAAATTTACTAGCTCTTGAATCTAGCCGTCCTTTTTCCTGTTACAATTTGTTTCCTCTTTCTGCTTCAATGCTTCGGTTTTCTTTGCTTCATTATTTGTGGTACCCGTCTTTTTCTTTCCGGGAATTGAACTTTCGAGGTAGATAAAATTTCTATGCATTTCCTCTCTGGCACTGCATTTGTGTAAGGATCGGTTTCCTGCAAAATATTTTTTAATACCTTTTAAATATTATAATACTTTTTAAATAGTCAATAATAGCAACCACCTCTTCTCTCTTATTTCTTTAAATATATTATCTACCGCCTAAATCTTTCAATTATGAAAAAGTCTTTTTTTTCCAATATATCCGAATTATGACTTTATCTACTAACATTTTAAAATCTTTCATTTTAAATTCCGGAGCCCTCATTTGAATAAAAAGTATTTTACTCAGAATTGTAATTAACTTTCTGCCAAGAAATAATACAGCTGGCGTCTTCCGGATAGTATCATGTGAAGCTCTCCTCAAAACAAATATCTTCTCATTGACACAGCTACTCCAGAGCTTATGATAATTCTTTATATTGTCTCGTAAATGATTTTATCCTAAAAATGAAGAGGCAAGTACTCAAGTCTGAACTCAAGATTTTATTCGAATCTACTTTATTCTTTATCAAGAACTAAAGATTTTATCGGCCTTATTCTTTAGCAAGAACTCAAGACTCATTACTCGAACTGAATGAGTAACCGCTTATATACAGCTGATAAACGAGCTACAACATTCTAGACTTGGAACACTCTCAAAAATGGACAAAATTCTCCACTGCATATAACATAATGAAATAAATAAACAGGAACGAAATTTAAACGGAACTAATTTTTAAGTAACTTGTCTTTGGTGGGTTTCGAAATCGGGAGCTTTTGGTTTTCGAATCCACTGAGCCACGATGCGATGGGTCGAAAGGAACAATTTTCGCTACAATACAAACTACGAATAACCTTAACTCTATTCTTATTTACTCGTTCTGCTATATTTGACAGCAACCGAAACAATTTTAAAATTTTGCCTCTGTTATCTTTAAAATAGCTGTTACTAAGTTGAAACCCATTACGACTCTGGAAAGCAGTGGAAGACAAATGGAAATCAATACCTCTGAAATTTTACGAAGCTTTAAAATCACGATGCACACCAGAAAATAATAATATCTGATCTAATATTTAATTTTAAACATTAATTAAACGACTTTTAAAACGTTCCAAAAATTTATAAACTCTCTCTCTATTATTAAAGCGGGTAATATTTTTAAAACTGATTTTACAACATGCATAACCTAACTATCATCTTGCTTAGTTATACGTGGAAACTGATGGCTTTTATAATAGCTAGCAAATACACAAATATTACGAGATCGTCAATGTTTCTGTCATTCAAGCTTTACTTTCGGTGAGATAGTATGGGAAATGATAATATAATCGCAAACTACCAAATGGTGTAAAGGACTCAGGCAGGAAATCCTGAAGTGTAGAAACATTTATCACTAAAAGCATGACTTTTACACAAGCGTTATGTGCAGGATGGGACAAGTGACTGTTAACAAACTTTATGTGCTGGCTATATGAAGTGACTGCTACACAAGCGTTATCTGCAAGATGGGACTTAAAATAAGTGGCTGTTATTTAAGCGTTATGTGGAGGATAGATATTACGCTATATGATGAATTTGAAATTTAGACCAAAATCACTGCTAAAGAGTAATTTAAATTTCTTTTTATGTGAAGGATGTGAAGGTGTTATGTGAATGATGGGCCAAGTGACTGTTAACAAGCGTTATGTGCAGGCTATAACAAGTGACTGTTATACAAGCATTATATGCAAGCTTACGCAAGCGCTATGTGTAGGATGGGCATCCCGCTATACGATTAATTAAAATTCTAGTTCAAAATCGCCTGCTAAAGAGTAATATAAATTAATTTTTATGTAAAATATTTTTATGTAATAAAAACATTTATGATAGACAGAAGCAACGACCTGTTAGTTCAAAATACGAATTTCAATGTAATTTTCCTCCGTGTGCTTTGACTCATAATTATAGAAACAAAAGCTGTAAAATAAAAAAAAAGGTCTCTTTAAGTTTTTTCTCTCCTTTATTTCTATCTGGCGTGTTTCGCTTCATGAAAAGCACGCGAATTAAGGCTCTCTTAAATTACAGTCTCAAATGACTTGGAGAAGATAAATGACGAACTGTGATGACAACATAAATTAAGATCACAAATAGGGAAGAAGGGTTTGACAGGGGCATGAAGTGCATATTTTAAAGTAACAGACTACAGCGTATGAGATGCAAGAATTTATATCGCATATGTCATCTCGTTAATTTTACTCAACATTTGGTAATCCCGGAAAGTGAATTTTGCGTAATATTAATTGCAAATAAGAAACCATTAATTAGAATGCTTTATAAAAATTATCAGATTTTAGTAAGCAAAGATATTCCATTCGTTTCATGCAAATTCAGAATACAATGAAAGTTAGTACATAAGCATACGCTTACCAATATGTTAATATTTGTCATTCGAAACAAATCAGGCTAAAATATAATGACCTGCGAAGGTTATTCTTAACAATACTCTCAATAGTGATGCATATAGTGAATTAGTTGACATTTTAATTTGGATTAATTTTATGAAAACGAATATTTCCTTTTATTTCGTAATGATTCATTTCATTTAACAATAATTTACAAAATTCATATTTTGATTACAGTTTTCCATTTATCTTTCCAATATATATGTATTAATAACATTATTACACATATATATATATATATATATATATATATATATATATATATATATAATATGTAAATGTATTCAAAATTAAAATCGAGTAGCGTAAGATAAAAAGAGAAACATGCACGGTAAGTGCATTAAACGCTTCCACTAATTTTACACAAGTTACTATTCTATATTGTGTAGCTTCTGAACATAAATTACTTATTGAATCAGTTTCGTCCAACCATGATATTTCTTGCATCATTCGAATTAAAATAGATTTTTGTATTTCCGATCAATAAATTATTTGTGACAACATCAATAAATTATTTGTGACATTTATTATAAACTTTACCAAACGACATCCGTTTTATTTAAAAATTACAATTATGTCTTACTTTAAAATATATTTTTGCAGATGGGATCCGTTCTTCTTAGCAATCACCTCAAGTGCCGCTATTGATCTTGTGAAGAACATAATTGGTGAATACTTTTCCTTTTCCTTTGTTCTTTACTATTACAGTTTTATTCATAATAATTTTGACTGAATGATATATTTTAGTTTTAGTAAAAAAAGGAAAAATTAATTTAGGTATTCTGAAAAACAGAAACACTTATCTCTAATAAAATTAATATTATAAATACGTGATATAGACATGTTATGACTTCCTTATACGGCCTATTAAATTATACATATTTTTACTGCACTTCAATTAATCATATTTCGTTAGAGATATATTTCTTATTCAATGAATTCAGTTCTCACTTCCGGACAACCAAAAATTTCAAAAACTTAAAGCATCTTCGTTAAAAATTGTAAAATACAGAAAACCTAATAAAGAATTTTCTTCCTCCTTTCCCTCATGCCTTCATGGTGCAATTGGAAGGATACTCGATGCGTATTCCAGAAGTCCAGTATTTGAGTTCCAGAGAAGGCTTTCCTCATTTTTCACGTCTCCTGCTTCAAAATAACCTAATGACTCCACAATTGACGCCCGAACTAAAAGGTGGTGGATGATAATTTGTTTCCACCAGGATTTAGTGATTGGGTACCCTAATACCTAAAAGTCCTTTCAAAACGGAAAATATATAAAATGTAGTCTCTCTTCTTTGCATATGTCTTCCTGGTGTAATTAGAAGCACACTCGACACGTATTCGAGAATTCCAGAGTTCGAATCCTGGCGAGGACATATTTTCATGTCTCCTGTTTCAAAATAACCTAATGACTCTACAGCCCAAGGCACTAAATACAACTGAAAAACAATTTTTAGATTTAAAATTACAGTTTGCGTGCAAAAACCAAGCAGTTTGGTAAATGAAGACAAAATTTTCGGTGCACGAAATGGCTTGGCAAAAAGACCCTGATATTGGTGCACCGACTTAATTCTCTATTCTTCTAAGAATTTTAAATGTAAAAATGATGGCAGCATTGTTCGTCCTAGCACTACTCAAATCTTTTTAAATTATTAATTCTGCAACTATTGCATGCAGATTATCTAAAGACTTCATCTGAACATAACAACAACACAATTCAATCATTTTAAAGCAAAAAATGCAGAGTTCACAAACATATAACAAGAAAATAAACGCAGTACTCACCAAGCTGGGTAAGAGGGGGTTCGTACAGATAGAGACTGAAACAGTAATAAACTTCGACCCAATTCCACAAATAAATGAACTTTAAAATCAGTGCAATCCCTAAACTTCCAATAAAAAATGTTAAAAAAATCAATTACGTTTTTAAACACGAGATATCTCAAATGCAACAGAAATACATAAAAAAACGAAGAAAAGGAATACAATCAAAATCTGATTCAACGATATCAAGAGGAGGCAGATGCGTGGAAATGATATTGGGATATTTTTGCTGTAAAAAATTTCTCTAACATACATATATATACAGTCTCTTGACATTGGCTATTGCCCAGTGACATTGTTTACCCCATCCTACGTTACACGACAAGTTGGAGAGCATTAAAAAGCGCAAAGGGGAAATACAAACCCTTTTCAAGTTTCCTCGTCACCAGAGAAGACAGCATTGCTACAGGTCTGATTTTATAATATTTCTCTAAAAGTTTTTTCTTGGTCTTAGTAAGACCCACACTGTTTGTCGTTTTATTTTTTTCCTTTTTCCTTTAAATTTAATTTCAGGTTCGTTTGTAAAGTTTTAATTCTTTAAGCTTGCAGGTCCAGCCCGTACGTTATTGTATATTTTGACTAATAGCATACCGCTATTTATTTTTATTATTATTGCTGTACATCGGAATTCCATTTACATTTTTTTGCACCTTAATGTGTCAATATATGCGGACGCGTCGGGAAATTGGAACAGAGAATTGAGACTAAAAAAAAAATTTAGACAGTTTGTTTAATTAATTAAAAAATTTTGTAGCGCAGAGTTTTAATTGTCTGTTTCGGAAACGCGTATTGGAGTCAGCTTAGTTCGATGTTCATTTAAAAATTTCCCTTGAAAAGCCAAAATAGACCTTTAATTGGTATAATTAACCATTTTCCGCTTTTTAATTTTTAATTTTAATATATTTTTTGCCTTTTACCTTGTTTCATCGATTAGTATTTTACTGTGTTTTATAATTTACTTTTTATTTCGCATATAGCCTAATTTAGTACCTCATTCAATTGATTTGTTTTTTAATACTGTGTTAAAATTTCCGAAAATATTTAGTATATAGCTTTTATTATTCGAACTTGTAAATATACATTTTTTTCCCTTTTTCACACTTTTCATAACTACTGAATATGCTTATGTTGGAGTTTTCTTGAAGCCACAGCTTTCGGTATCTTTTTGGCGAGCTTACTACAATTTATCTTCTCATTTCCTTAATTTTGCAGCACATTGCGCACAAATTTTGACCAAAATTGGTCTTTTTTGTATTGTTCTTACGTTTCTTATAATATATATATATAATATATATACAGTAAGTTTGGTACGGTAGATTGTAGTGAAAAAGGGAGGTGCACAGCTACATGTTATGGCAGTCCCATGCAGAAAAATTTTCAACTTCCTACGACTAATAGTTTTTGAGTTATGCGAGAAACATACATGCGTACATAAGAATGTACGTACAGACGTCATAGAAAAAAATTCTAAATCAATTTTAAATGCAATCTGCAATCTGTTTTGGAAAAACAATCCTTTATTGTGTTCGTACGCACAGATGTCATTCAAAAACATCGTCTAAAGATGTTCGTGGTAAAGATGGATATTTTGTTTTAAATATGGTACGCAAAAGTTTTCGCGATTGCAGTACTCCAATTACTTAGTACATTAAAGAAAAAAAAGGAGGAAAAAGAAGAGTAAGTCTTATAATCATAGAGAAAGAATACAGTTTCTAAATTTCAAATGGAGATAGTACATTTTTTCCAAACTAATGAAAATTGAAACATTTAAAATTACATTGACTTTATCTGAAAACAAATCCTCGTAAAGAGAAAGCTGTTTAATTTTTTTAGTTATAAATAATACGTATTCAGGCAAAATGTATACAATCCTACATGTGTTTCATATTTCATGCCTTCGGTGAGTATTGTTGTTATCGCAGGTTGATCGATTTGCATGCTGTAGGATTGAGTTTAATTTTCAAGCAAAGTGGGGATGACTTTTAATTGTAGTATTTTTGAAGCACACAATCTCTCGACACGAGAATCTTCTCAGGAGCTGAGGATAGGATTAGAAAGGCATGCATCAGACCCTCGAATTATCTCTTCGCAGAGTCCCTCGACCTAAACCGAGATGGAATTTGTAACTGACAGCCCACAAGTAGTTAGCTTACTCTAATTAAATTAGTATATGAAAATAGCATTACTTTAGTACACTTAGAGTAAGTAAATCTACAAACTTCTGTTTTAGACTTATTTTTGAAGTTCTATAAAGATTAGAATATGCCTCTCAAAAACTGGGAGGGGGGCGAAGAATCTTTTTTTACATACCATTTTTCAGTTTCAAACGACTTTGCTTTACTGCTGTTATTGTAACTAATGTCACTTGTATCGTGGCAAGGAGGTAAAATTGCACCTGTTAACGGCAAGAACCTTGCGGCACCATACATATGACAGTACTATTTTGCTAAGCTTTGTCTCCGAATTTTGAAGGAGAGCGCCTCTTCCACCCCCTTTTCCCTACCACGAAACTCTCGAGAGAACTTTCCGCCCACCGCATATTTTGAGGGCCTCATGCTGCACAAACACTGTCACCTACAAACACGCATGCCTTTTGCGGAATTAAGAGCTTGGCCCTTCACTACGGCAGTTAGAGTCACTAGCACTATCCCGGTTGCATGGCACTGTACTTTGTTGTGCATTTTAAATGTTGACAAATTGAATATTGCTTTTATTGAGAGATGAAGTCTTATTTTCTCAAATGGTGAACTAAAGTTATTAAGGAAATAACTGATGTAAGTTACTGGCACGCATTTTAAGTGAAAGAATATTGAAACTACTCCTGTGATCAAATGTTCGAGGGAAGTCATGTCATGTAAGAGAAACTGAGATAAGGTCGTCATGGGTATTTAGCAAACCCTAGAAATTTACTCACCCTGTTTGCTTTTAAGGCTCTCCCAAACATGAATTTACTTGACGCTGCTTAACAATTCAGTTTGGAACTTAGTGCATCTCATTCCCTTTTATATTTCTCAATGTCAGTGTCATATGTTGTGTATCTAATTTCAGAATTATCGTATATCATAAATATTCTTTAATTTACTTACTCTCGCAATTAAAGTACTGTCATCCTGCGAAAGAGAAGCGGGCTTCTTTTTATTGTTTCATTTCCTGTTCATTCACAATTTGCTGCTTGAAGTCAGTTTTGGGTTGAGTATCAACGGTTCTAATGAATAAATATTTTTATCTTATTGTTATTTTCCTCATTGTCATTTTCTTATTCCATTTTTTACGCGAATTAGGTATAAAGTGTACATTTCTACAAAAGTTTAACTTTTGTATTGTTCCTTGTCCTTCTGACGATATCCCGCAGTTCCATCCTGAACGCGTCCGCTGTCGAAGCTGAAAGGGTACATACGTTTATCCTAGCCCAATATCCTATCTGTGTTCCTTCTGCTTTTATTTTCTGATGTTTTATTATTTAAATATACATATGACAGATTACTTTTAACCAGTAAATAAATTCACACGAGTATACCCGTACGTGGCATATGGAAAAAAATTTTTGCTTTCTGTATGCATTTGCTACAACAATACTCGTTCTAGGTGATTTAGGTAAGGCGATCAATAACGAGTTATCTCGTAGCTGGCGAGTCAACACAGTTTCAGCATTTTCGTATGTCTCGTACATGGAATTGATCATGTTAAAATGATTATTATATCCTATACAAGTTATGCGTTCTTCTTCTATAGTGTTCTCTGTCGATATACAGGGTTAGCCAAATGATTCATTTGTTTAGAAAGAGCTATATTTTCAAAAGGATTTTACGTACTCTCATGAAAGATATATGAAAAGAACCACAAACTCACCAAGTTTATACACCTTCTACAAATACTCAGTCCCTCTGGCGACAAGACACACGTCTAGACGATAATCAAGCTCATTCCATACATTTTGTAAAATTGTTGTACAGATGTTCATCCTGTCAGACTAGATGTTCGGAATACCACTAGAAACTGCGTGGAAGACTTTGCGTCAACGTTTGCATTTCAAACCGTACTATGTGTAGCTCCTGCAACAACTAAAGCCGCAGTATTATGCCTGTCGAATAGATTTTTGCATCAACATTGGAGGACGAAGATTTCGCCACCAAGATGATATTCTGAGAAGAAGGAACGTTCCACTTATACAGGAAACTTGGTGAAATAGTGAAAAACACTTGGTGAGTTTGTGGTTCTTTTCATATATATTTCGTATGTGGGCGTAAAATACTTTTGAAAATATAGCCTTTTCAAAACGAGTGAATCATTTGTGTTAACATTATAGCTTAACACTTGGAAAACGAAGCCTTCGCTAACTTATATGCTTAAATATCAAAACGCCCGACATGACTTTCAAGATTCACATCAATTTCCTTCCCTCCCCGTCCATTAACGCACAAACAGATGTAAAGATTTCAAAAGTCACGCGCAACCTAAATATAAAAAATCGCAAATAAATCCTTTTAGGACAAGCTATCTGCAATAAAGTGATACAATGCATTTGGGGAAACTGCATCTGGTACTGCATACCTTAAGGGAAGGGAAGAAAACATTACAATCTCGGCGGTTTCGGGCGGCTATGGTCTGTGAATGAAAGGACGTCTCGGGCGTGTTGGCCTTCAAAGGGTAAATACATAAATTGGTCAAACAAGGAGAACCTTGAAATTTTGCACCAAACAGCAAGAAATTTATATTCTGAAACAAATCATAAATCCTTTATTCCCGATCATTTCTCATCAAGAAATCATGTTTTCTTTTATCTGCAGTGTAAATTATTAAAAAAAAAATACGCATTGCATTTCCTAGAGACATTTAACATGCATCAGAATCTCTCCGTTTGAATTTGTAATACAAAGTCTAATCCGGCTTTACTTATATCTTTTAAATAATTTCCCTCTTAATTGCTTTTCTTGGGCTTTCAGCAATAGATAAAATTATGCTCTTCTTTTACTGTCGTTTAGCTAAAATATTTTAGCATTTCTTCCTCTTGTTTTTCACTTACGAAGGTATCTCTTGTCCGTGATTTTCACTCTCGCAGCTAAAGCAGATGTTTCTACTAAACCTTCGAAACTATAGTACTGCAAGTTAATTCACTTCAACCAACTATCTTACATATAGTTAATTACCACAGCATTTATTTGAGCATTCGGCGAGAAACAGTATTTTAAGGAAAGATGTTTGGGTTTCTTTAATCAGAAATATACACCTGTCATGTTCATCCAGCTTACTCACCAGATTTTAATCCTCAAAGACTGATCAACATTACTTTACATGTTACCATTTCTCGCATGCTACAGACACTAATGTTTTATGTATCGTAGCCACTTAGTCAACCATTCAGCCATCTTATAACAGAAAAACAATAAACAGTGAATGTCCTATCTTGCCCCGCATTCAGTAGCAAATTTTAAATCTCCATTAGCAGACTACATTTCTTTCAGCTTTATTTAGTATAATTAAAATGTGGAACGTTTATATTCCAGATATGAGGAAACGGTAACACTCTTACACAATTCAAGCCACCCGAAACTACGTGAGCGCCAATCTATGGCAGATACCAAAGCGATAACCTGGAAATGCATTATTCAGTAATGCTTTTCTATTCAACTAAAATTCAGTGAGCAAATTTCGAAACTTCGATGTGTATTACTTTAATAGAAATTAATAAATAGCATACACATGTCAAATTGAACTACTCTCCAAGAATTTTCCGAAAACGTTTGAAAGTAGCAGGTTAATTCAGCAAACCAAGCTAACATGAAAGCTAACGACACAATCATATTCCTGTAACTATCCTACAAAATTCCTCAGTTTGGGCGTCGCTCTCTTCCAATATTGTCGCGCTCATTGCTCCGATACTGAAGCAGAGTTTCTCATAGAATAAAAACAATTCACCCAAGATGTTATAATTTTTATCATGTTTTGTTAAAAAAAAAAAACTAATATCAAACTCCTTACCAACGTTACGTGAATTATCGCTATGCCTGGACAAAACGGAAAAGTTGTAAAAAGGTTTTGAAACAAATCGTTTTATTAAATCAGAACTGGAACATAAATGCAATCCAACGAACCACTTGTGGCTACGTTAGATAAAGTAATAGTAAGTTCAAATTCGAAACTAAGCTAGTAATAAAGGACTACACAATTCAACTTAATGAGTATATGGCTCACAAATCTACCCGACATATGTATTCGAATACCGACAATTATAATGCAAGGCCGAAGATTACAAAACTTACCTGAGCTATCAGTAATCTTATTAGTAACCTTATCAGTAACCTTAACAGTACTTACTCAGTAACTTAACAGTAATACTCTTCGTGTATTAATCCTTTAAAATTTTTTAAGGAGTATTTTTTCCAATGGATTTTTAATTTACCATTACCGAAATTAAAATGTTATCTTTTTCTTGCAGGTTATGTGTTTCCGAAATAAACAGATTTGCATGCAACATTTTTTTTTTTTTTGCATGCATAGAATGCATGGAATTGAAGTGCTTTGTCTTTAAAATATGTATTTGCAACTACGAATGATATATAATTCCAATTTTTTTTTAAAAAAATGTCTTCGAAAATCCTTTTAATTTACATCATCGGTATTTCAAAATATTGAAATTGAAATAAATCCTTACTTAAATTCATTAATAAAGTACATTTCTTATTAACAACTTTATTTCAACAGACATTAGCGTTGCAGTATTCCAAGACCCTTTGTTCAACAAGGATCGACCAAAGTTAGTAACCTGTCTCATAAATATATATCAATTTTCCTTCAAATAAATGTATTTATTTTCCTTAAACTTAATTTCTTTAGACAACTTTTGAAATGTTATAGAAAGTTAACATTGTTTACTACATTTGTTTCAGATACTTGAATTTTGGAAGTGTAGGTTTTCTTTTTGGACATGAACTTACGCATCAATTCAATGGTAAGTAATTATTTGTTAGATTTGCTTTAGAATTCTTAACAGCTAAATCCATTTTGATACAAGCTTCTAAAAGTTATGATTCAAGAGGTTGCTAATCATCCAAGACCGTGAAAACGTGTCTTTTCTCTGGCCAGAATAAGAAGCATTTAATGATTTGTGCTGTAAGTGATTAGTTGAACCTGCTTAGAACATTGAAGGGAAAACATTAGAACACTGAAGGGAAAATGGGGTAATTCCTTACATTCATCCCATGGAGGTAAGAAAGGAAGGAGTGGCCAAACCGGCATTAGAAGTGAAGCACTGCTCCGAAGCTTCGGTCACCAGATGGGGTGTTTTTTGTTTACATTCAGAAGCTCACTTGACAGCGCTCTGATAGTATTTCGACACACGACAGTTCCATACAAATCGAAAAACGGGACATTTCCGTATAAAAGAAACATTCATAGTGTGATGGATAATAGCAATTTGTATAGTTTAGTGACATTTACGCAAAAATCACATCTTGGTTATTTTTCGATAACTAAGCATAGCAATTTTGATTATGAATTTGTTTTATAAAATTCTAAACTGTTGAACTACAAAAATATAGATTTTAGCAAAAACGTTACGCTTAAAGAATGAAAAATATTCTCACCATACCTTTAAAATTGTATAGTACATCTTTCTATATCCTTGATAGAATATTCGCTACTTTTATGTTCCAAACGTCAAAATGTTTTAAATAAAATAATTTTTTTTCACATCTACATATTATTGTAACATGTACTTTTTAAAATTAGTGTAAATTACTTTATTCGAAAAACATAGTGAATGCGCAGAAATTAAAGATTTCCACATGCCGGAAATGAAAAATATGAAATGTGCATGGGTATTTATGCATGTGCATGCAAAAAGTATGAAAGTATGCATCTGCCTTTAACAAAATACGTAAATATTTATTAAATTATTTATAAATGTATTTGAAATGAAGGGATTTCATTCATAAACAACTGTGAAAGCTACTGTGAAGAAATCTAATTATTTAAATGTATCTAAATTTATAATCATTATATATGTTATCTAAATAACCTTAACATTGACTTGTAAACATAAACTGAACATCCTGTTGGACAAATACGTTATATAAAACTACTTAAGCAAGGATTGTTCGTACTGGAAAGCAATCTGTTAAAAGGTTTTGTAAAGCAAATTTCTATGAGATGCGTACATGAAAAAGTAACAAAGAAGAGTTTTAGAAATATGCATTGTTGAAATTAAAGGGTTAAAAAATCCAAGTATAATTAAAAGAATTATTCACCTTACATTTTATAATAACTCACTTATAAGTTTTCAGATTAATATTTTAAAAAAAATATCCTGATTTTCCCCCTCTTTCAGAAATATTCCGAGAAAGTTAAGTACTATTTAAAGTATTTCGCTATTAAAATAAAAGGTGCTGCAATTTGAAATGGACCGAATAGTAGAGCATTCATTATAAATTGACTTATATTTTTCAATTCAAAAGATGCCTCAGAAGTCAAAAAATCATGTCATATTTAAGAAAGTATTTTAGGAAGAAGCTGTATAAATAGAAAAGAAATAATGCATAATTTTAATATTAATAATTGATCTTAATTTTTGTAATCCTTACCCGACGTAATTACACAATATTTACATCCGATCGTGTCAAAACTCATGGAACTCAATGGTAAATTACCCAATGTTTTGGTCACCAAAGAAGGGATCGCCAGTGTTTCAAAGCAGGGTATGGGAAAACCGGTTTAGGGCTACTCCATCTAACCTCCTACCTCCATGATTCATCCGTACCCACACACATACACTTAAAGGCGAGTAGCGCCACGGAGGATAGCCAGTCAATCAAATTCAGGCGGTCATGAATTACTATCTACCACAATTAAATTCGGCTGCCATTTTAAAGACACTGAGGTGTTTAGTTGTAGGCGAAACAGAAGCCATCAAAAATTAACTACTCCTCTTGTGAATTTAAGCCATGGATCTTCCATCTTGTATTCAGTCGTGTATACCGACATCTTACACAACAAAAGAGTGCCCCGGAAAAAGTAATTATTCCCAATAGGGTGCTTGGTAATTAGGGGAAACATGGAGGTGAGAACAAGAGAAGACCCCGTCCTCCCACCTACGGTTGATGCAGTCCTGCCGAGCTACGGTAGCTACAGGGGGTGTGTTTTGTTTACATCCAAAGCATGCTGACAGAGATTTGGTAGTACTTCCACACACGACAGTTCCGCTGAAATCGAAAAGCGGGGTTACTTCCGCATAAAAGAAACATTCATTTCTAGATGGGTAAAGCAATTTGTATAATGTAGTGGCATTTTTGCACAAATCAGATCTTCGTTATCTTTCGATAATTTGCAACAGTGATTTTGATTATGAATTTGTTTTAAAAAATTCATAGCTACTGGATTTAAAAAACTACCAAGTTTCAGCAAAATGTTTATGTTATGTATAATGAAAATGCGCTGCTCGAATGAGATAAAAAATTTACAAACTGTGCTTTTAGATAAAATTAGAAGCAGCACTGTAAGAACATACTGCGAACGATGAATTCATATACACTAATAGCAGTATTTCATGAGAACCGACTTTGCTGTACAGCACTATATGAACAAGCTGGAGCACAATGCACACACTTTCATAACTCTAAACTTAGACAAGGAGATGTACGATGAAATCACATACCCTGAATGCAGTTTAATTTAATTCCTATAATCCAATATGCAGGCTATCAGCGTGAGGAAAAGTGTATGAAAAACTCCTAGTGAACCGCCTGAAGCATCACTTGCACAAAGGCAACACAAACAGCGAATACCAGTACGGCTTTAGAGAAGGGTAGTCAAACACATATGCACTCATGGCGATAAATAACTACATCTTGGAGAACAGGCACAATGGCTACCAGACAGCCATTCTGATCCTCGACCTTAAGAGCACCTTTGACACTTTGTGGTAGCCAGCTATTACACATGCATTGAAAGAAGCAAGATGCTCGGCAAGCATGCATCAAACTTCTTGCATCACTCACCTCTCTAACCGCAAGCAAACCATCCTGCATAAAAATGGCATCATATAAGGCAAACAGACCCGAGGAGGCTTACAAGAATCATGTGTCGGTCCAATCTAATGGAATCTGACCTTCAGTGGCATATTAAATACTACCTAGCCTTAACATACACAAGAACTTATGCAGATGATGTTGATGAGTTTCCAGTAGTTCTATGATAACCGCAGTGCCTTGAAATTGACCATTTCAGAAGGCAAATCCAAGGCACTTAACTTTGTTTTATTCATTAATAGGGCATTTTTTGATAGGGCAAGGTGAAGCAACTGAAGAGCAAGGTAACTGAAGAAGCAACAGAAAGGCAAGGTAAAAATCAAACGGCAAATAGGGCGGGATGAATGTGAACAATACAGCCGCAAATACTTTTGCATTACACAAGCTGCGACAAACTCAACATCACTTCCCCGCAGTTTAATAAGATTTATTACAAGTCAAGATCCCTTTCTCGTACATTTTTAATAAGACACAGCGTAAGCAATACCAATCTCTGTCTGTGAAGAAACTGATACCTTACACCTTCATCTTATCATCTGTCCACATACCACAGACACCACCTAAAATCTCCAGTAAGAATACACAAGCTTTCTGCAAATTTATGATAAAACAACGTCTTCTGGTGATCACCCAAATTATCAACAAGCTTGCAAAACTCGGAGCTGCTCTATGCTTCATTATATAATTATCATTTTCTAATTTTGGGGATAAGGATATAATAGAAATAGTGCCTAGAGTAAGAAATAAATTTGCACTCAGTATTTTGTTTTAATGTTTAACTTTCTGCGTTAATACTGTATTTCGATGTCGCGCAATATACATTTGCACATTTTTAAAAGATCTGTAATTGTAATGTGTACTAATGTAATTATTTTATAATGTGTACTAATGTAATTATTTTATAATGTGTACTAATGTAATTATTTGTAATGTGTTAATGTATTATTTAATGTAATATTTGTAATGTGTACTAATGTAATTATTTGTAATGTGTACTAATGTAATTATTTGATATCTAATGTAATTATTTGTAATGTGTACTAATGTAATTATTTTATAATGTGTACTAATGTAATTATTTGTAATGTAATTATTTGTAATGTGTACTAATGTAATTATTTGTAATGTGTACTAATGTAATTATTTATAATGTGTACTAATGTAATTATTTGTAATGTGTACTAATGTAATTATTTGTAATGTGTACTAATGTAAGTGTATGTTCTGCTGTAAAGTAATTTAAGTACATGAAATGATGCAATAATTATGTAAATTATGTAATTAAGCCCCAACCCACAATGGCTACACTATCTTACAATGCTATTTGATGGACAATATACTGGGGACTGTATTTTATGCATACACAATACTAGATATACGGGAACGCTAGACAGTACCGTCTAACCACTTGACAGAATGATGGTGGCTGTAGTCCGTGAACTGTCACCGTAGCACTATAATTAGGAAAATACTGCGACAAGAGAATGCACGTAGTACCGCATCACTTGATGAGGGAATGTACGATGAAAAACTGATACTAAGAGCATTACATGAATACTGAGTTTGCACTATGGAGGGAAATGTTTCGTAAGCACAATGCACAGACTTTCACAGCACTAAACTTGTATGAGGGAAGGTACGTAGAAATCGCATACAGTTACGGTACTGCTTGAACACTGTGTTTGCACTATAGCACTAATAGAGGAAAATGTTACGAAAAACCAGTGCCCTGACTTTCAGTAGATTACAAGATGTACAAAGAAATATCATTCATAGACCTTAATGCGTGAATACTGTTTGCACTGGGCGAGGTTATCAAGTTCAGTGTTTCTCCTTACTTGCTTGGGGAACATTGAAGAACCTGAATCGGAACAGGGAGCTTACTAAAGCTGCGTCCAATAAATGTGGGAAGTAGACAAGATACACA